TACTTTAAACTTGCTGTCTCTCTACTTCACTTACAGTAAGGACTGAGCTGAGTGTTCTAGTCAAACAACAGGTCTCACTTCTGGCTCTCCTGTACTGGTATGTCTTGGCAAGTGCTTTATCTCAGCATTGGTAAACAGATGTCTCATCTCAGAACTCAGCAAAGCTAAACCATGTTCCTTGAGGGGAAAATAAAGGTAAATGTGGTAAATACTTGCTAAATTTCATCAACTTTGCTGGTACATATTGTCCCTTGAAGAATTCACATGAGCCAGGCTTACAGCAACTCCTTGGAAAGGGTTGGAAAAGTCAGGGATTGTTGTTTCTGGTTGTTGTGGAGGGGTTTTGGGTCTGTTTTAACTGCTGTCTTGTTTCATCTGCACAAGAAGCTTCTCCAGCTGCTGGAGGCTTTGTATCTATCAGTGCATGGCTGAGTTCTCTGTGGTGTCAGTGCCCTCAGACACATCTCATGGCAGCCTTTAAATACTGCATGGACAGTGCAATGAATTCCACTGTTTCACTGTCCCTGCTCCCCCATCCAGTTTCAAGCAAGAAACCTTCTACTACAGCCTGTTTAGAATGACACTTTAGTTCACCCTCATGAGCAAGAAACATGTAAAAGTTGCAAGAAGAATCTGTATTGTTTTCTATTTCAAACTACTGTTCCCAGTGCATTTGGAGCACAGGAGTATTTGACCTGCTGTGCCATCAGCAGCACCAACACTGCACACACAGCACTGAATGGAGGAAGGAATGGAATAACTGTGCTTCATGTATTTAAATTCCTGATTTTTTGATGTCAGGTTTATTGCAGGATTTCTCTAACTTGGCCTTTCACAGGGAACTTGAACCACTGATGTTCTTTCAAAGATCTTCTTGTTCTTTGTGAGCTTTCCAATCCAGTAATTTCTGGCTGATGGTGTTAGTGTGGCTTAGCAACAACAGCCCCAGAGGAGGCTCAGCATCCAACTGCTCCTCCACGCTAACTCCACTAAGGCACTCTGACTTCAGCCCCCTTCCTTGGGGCAGAGCCCAGCATCAGCCCAGCCTTGCTAAGAAGGTACAAAGGAGTTCAAAAAGGTACAAAGGAGTTCAAAAACTTTATTTATCATAAAGGTGCTGTGGAGATCCCAACAGCTACACCCCAACAGGTCAGATATTGAGAGGGAACAACACAGGCACACACCATCACACCATTACAGCAGCTCTCACTCAGCCACAGAGGACTGCAGGGCCTGTTACCTGAGCCCTAACAGAAAGGGCTCTGGCTGTACTGGAAGGAAGCCATCTGAAGCCTAGATCTCAGTCTGTCTGCTTCTAGCTCCTGAAAAAAGGTGTCATCAGCACTCTGCATGATTGCTGCCTGCAGCTGCTGGATTTCCTTTTCCATCTTGGATCTCAGCTCTCTCTTGGATTTCTGGAGCATCTAAAGGGAACACTGACATTAGCCACAGCATGCAGCAAGAGAAGACAGACAAAATTAAGAATACTTACTTGAGCCTGTGCTTTCTCCCTGGTTTGGATTTCTTGGAATTCTTGAGCTAAAGCTTCTGCTAGCATGGAAAACTAAGCACAACACATGTGTGAGAAGAACAAATAAGCAGAGGAAGGACTTCCAGTGTAAAAATATTGCCTGTCTGAGGCAGGTCAAGCTTTACCTGATCCTTGTAGTAGTTCTCCAGGGATTCCAGCTCGTTCTGGTGCTCTCTCCGTTGCTCATCACGTTTCTCTTGGGCATATGCTCTCATGTCCTTCAGTCTTTGCTTCTGAATTTCTAAGCCTTCTTCAAATAAGTTTTTAAATATCTGCCAGCAATTAAGAAAACCAAACCTGAAACTTTCCCTGAAACTTCTAAATTTACATTTATGTTTTTCAGCTGCTTTATCCCCTGTTGGAAGATTCCATGTGCTCACATGAAGACAGGCCATTGCCCATGAAAAACACAGTTCTGTACCTGGTACTGGTGGAGCAGATGGAGCTGAGTTGGACTGGTGTTATTCATTTAGCTGAAATTCTGATAGATAAAATATTTTTTTCATGTCAGTTTAGTCAGATGACCCAGCAATAAAAGCCAAGGCCTTTGCCCATGCACTGTGATTTACAGCCCACCCTGCACTCTGCCTGCAGGACCTTCATCCAGGTTTCCAGCAGCAGGAAATCCAGGCTGCACTCAGCCTTTCCATCTCTCCACCACAACACTGCCCAGCTGCAGCTCACAGCTTGAGGCAAACAGTTCTCAAATCACTAACAGTGGATTGTGCACTAAATGTTTAGCCTTTTCTTTTAAAAGGTGACAGTTGTGTATCTGCTCTTGCAAGGTGTAATAACTCTCCTTGTTTCCTTTGCTCTGATGCCCAGCCCTAATTAGAGATCACATCTGTCCCAAAGTCCTCTGGTTAACAAACACAACTGGGTAACAAAGTTGTCTGTTTGATCAGTTCCCTCAACTGAAGATTTAGATTGTTTTCTTTGGATAGTAACTATAGGAACAACTTCTTAATCCTATTCTTTCTGAAAACTCATTTCCCCAATTCCTCATGTTACCAGCCCTGTTTTTCCATACTGATACTTCACCCTTTCCCTCCTTTGCTTAACCCCATAAAACAGCCTTTCTTGTTTCTTTGCCTACACTTTATCCATGTGTCCAGAGCAGGAACTGTCTCATCTGTGGCCTGGACTGACCAATACTTCATCCTGGCTCTGTTCTCTGGTCCCTTCACTTTGCTGCCTCCTTGCAGCCCTAGCTGAAGCAGCAGACAGTGGGTGCTCAGCTCTGGGGACCAAACCAAAGAGAAGCAGACACTCTGTGCTCACCCTCTCCTCCCGTGTCCGTGCCCTCAGCAGCTTCGCGCGCAGCTGAACTCTGTAATCCTCGTAGTACCTCTTGGCTCGAGCAATCTGCTGCTGCTTCTCCCTCAGCCTGCTCTGAGCCCACCTCTGGCGCTGGATGCGCTGCTGGAACTCCTGCTGAGTGGAGAACAGGAGCTGTGAGACCACCAAACCTCCAGGATTGCTGCAGGCAAAGCTTCGTTAATCACTGCTCCTCTACCAAGGACCTTCCCCATACCCAATTTCACACTTCAGTGATGGTTTAAAGCTTTAGTCACCACTTAGTGAAGTGCCACTAGAGAATTAAGGAGTTGGTGCCGACACCAAGACCCTGAAGTTTCTCCCTCTTGCACATTTTTAGCATGATTGACCTTCTAAAGCAACAGTGCAGTGTAATAATAATATTCCATTCCCATGAGCCCAACAGTCACAATACAAACAGTGTTGGTATTGTTAGGAGCCACAGTGATAGGACAGGAGCAACGGGGACAAATTGAAAGAGGGGAACTCTAGATTAGCTATGCCAAGACCCTGAAGTTTCTCCCTCTTGCACATTTTTAGCATGATTGACCTTCTAAAGCAACAGTGCAGTGTAATAATAATATTCCATTCCCATGAGCCCAACAGTCACAATACAAACAGTGTTGGTATTGTTAGGAGCCACAGTGATAGGACAGGAGCAACGGGGACAAATTGAAAGAGGGGAACTCTAGATTAGCTATGAGGCAGAAGGCTGTGAGGGTTGAGGGTGGCCCAGGGTGCCCAGGGAGGCTGTGGCTGCCCCAACCCTGGCAGTGTTCACAGCCAAATTGGATGAGCCTTGAGCAACCTGCTCTGGTGGGAGGTGTCCCTGCCCAGGGCAGGGGTTGGAGCTGGGTGATCTCTAAGCTCCATTCCAGCCCCTTAACCTCCTATGATTCTGTGTCATTTGAGATCAGAGCTACTCAAAAGGCATAAAACTGTCCTAAAAAGGCACTTTCATGACCATGGAATATGCATCCTAGGTAACTCTGTGTGAAATCTTTGTATTATGTAACAAACACCCTTCAAAGCACTTACCAGTCTCTTGTTACGGTCTTGATCTTTTTTAATTATGGCAGCAAGCAGCTCATGCTTCTTCAAGGCTTGTTGAACCTGAAGGTTTAAAAAAAATAGCTAATTACTTCCATCATTCTGCAGGACAAGCACTTCTACATCTATGTAGGAGGGTTAAACATTGTTCCTCTGCTATGCTGTGGTTTTACATTCAGAGCTACCAGGTATAAGTTAATAAACTTTTGTATCTCAGAAGTAACTTTTAAACTAAAAGGCTGTTCAGAGCTAGAACTTGATACTACGAAGTGCTTTTAAAAAAGCATTAGCAGCACCAGGCAGTGCTAGAGAAACCAGTATGGGAAAAGGCCTGTTACATTTAAGTGGCTGATGAAAAGCTGAACACTCCTGTGTGTGACTCTGTCCATCCCTGTTTATCCAAGCTCCAGGGATTCATCCTTCCACACTGTGCTCTGTCTGTGCTGCACAACTGCTGCCACTTGGCAGGTAAGATTGAGAACACTCACCTCATTTTGCAGTGTTGGTCTAGCTCTGCCAGCAGCTGCCTTAAGCTGTTCAGTGTGTGCAAGTTGCTGCTGCCACATTTTATTCAGAGCACGGTGGGAAATGTGCAGGTGGGGAAACTCTTCCAGTAGCTGCATGAGGAGGTCATTGTCTCTCACTTTCACTGTAAGATAAAGACAGATGTAAGCAATAAATTCTTGGAGAACACAGTTAGTGGCAAATCCATCCAGACAGTGTCAGCCTAAGTTATGAAATATTTCACACTGAACACTAGATAAAACTACCATGTCAAGCAAACCCAGCAGGACACGACATCATCCTGCCAGAACAGCAGCACAGAGAGCAAACCCAATTCCTTGGTGTTTTCCTTGAGAATTGCTTTTATGGCTCAGGTGTTATCTCTCACCACCACATCCCATCAAGACAAGTATCCCCTTCTTTCTTCAAATGGTTCTGACCGTCACTAATAGGTGATTTCGTTATCTCTCTTTGGTTGCAGCAACTTAAAATAATGCCAATACAGCAGCAGCAGTGACAGATCCAGGACAAGTAAACAGGTGCAAAATAAACTGGTTTGCAACCTGCTCTTTTCCATTACATCTTTGATCTTTTTGGCAGGAAAAGATGAAACAAAGGGGTATTTGCCTTTAAAAACTGGGAAAAAAATAAGGCAGTGCAGCTAAGAACATGCAGGCATGTGGGGGATGATCTGGGGATCTTATCTATAACTTTGCACAGTGCTGTACCAAAACTGAGCCCAGGATTTGCATCTTGGCTGTTCTTGGAGCATCACTTGCTCAGCAAAACCAGTGGCAGCATCACCACCACCCTGGCAGGTCCTGCCAGATCGGCTCTGTTACCTGCACGTGGCTCAGCTCAAGCCAAAGGCCCAATTTTAAATCTGATACATGCTCAGAAAAATAACAGGAGGAGAGCTCAGACTGTAGTGGAACAAGCACAGGAGTAGCAGTAATGGAAACAAGCCCTGAAAATAATCCAAGGGATTTTAAGGAAGTAGCAAAATGGGTCACAGTTTTGATTGTGCATTGATGGTTTACATTTACTTAAAGCATTATCTTCCCTAACAAAAATCCAGACATACAGAGGTCAGAAGAAGGGGAAAATGCTGCAGCTGACTGGTATATGTTGGACTGGTGCCTCTATTCTTGGAGTTCAACACATGCTTTCAAAAGATGCCAGTTTTCCACCAAGGATAGTTTTGCAGTTCTTACTTGGAGCTGCTTTCTTTGGCTTCACAGTCCCTCGTTTTGGAATCCACTGGCTGTGTTTGGGATTCCAAGGTGTGGTTTTTCTAGAATAAACTTTCACTGGCTGAGGCTTTTTTGGAGGTTCTTTAAAGACGTTTTCTTTGTATTCTTGTTCCTTAGGAGCAGATGTAAAACAGATGGAGAACAGGTATGAGAGGGGAAAGACTGATTGATCACATAGGTTGGCTATCAGAACTTCAATGTCTTTGAAGCTTTAGAATGAGAACTTGGACATATTGCACTGGATTCTCCAGTAGGACAGAATTTTCCAGATGCAGGTCAGGGTTCAAATGAAGGTTAAATCTCATTATTGCATAACCTCAGCTCTTCTGCAGCACTTAACACTAGTAAGTTACTACCTCAGTGGTAACACAGTGCTGTAACTGTGACACTGGAAGCCAATTGTCTGCACGGGTCATCTAGGCAAATTTAAACAGAAAAAAAATCAACCAAAGAAAACACAACACCCCCCAGGGCATCACCCACCGTTTCCCTGATGACTTCTCTGAGCTTGGAGAGCCTAAGCCTCTCCCTAGCTTCATAAATTCTTAGTGCATCTTCATAAGATTTAGTGACCATCTGAAAAATAAAAGTAAGAGGAGCTGTCAGAGCCATCAGTCCAGTTACCTTGTTTGCTGCATGGTCCAAGTGGCTTCTTCCACTTCAAACTTTTACAGAATTTGGGGGTTAAGCTCTCCCTCAGCAGTCTAACAGCTCCAGCAGCACATGATTACTGAGGGAGGCTGATGTCCCCATGGGCTAAGAGCATTCTGTTTTCATGGGTTTGGTGTAACTGTTGGTAAGAATCACCACGAGGTCTAACCTAGAAGTTACCTTTGTTTCTCTTGTTCTTTCATCCCTTTCCTTTTGCAACTGGCTGCGAGTTGTCCTTATCTGGCCTGTTCCACTACCACAGGGTTTATCTTCCTGATGCTGAGATGAGGGTGAGGGTGGAGAAAGGGATCGTGGCCTGCCTGGACACCTCAGATGTGACATGTCTGGAAGGAAAGGTGATTCACTGAGCCTCCAACTTGAGACAAAACCCAGTGAAGTGTATCGTGACCAGGCCCTCATTTCAGACTCGCAGTCCTGTGAGCTTGTGTTCTGTCCCTTCCCACAGTTTCTGTCCATTTTCACTGCAGCTGTGCTTGCCTTGAAATTCGTGCAAAATTTTACCATAGCTTTTTAAGTGTTAAATGGAAATTTAGTTGTAATTGTGTTACTGTTGCTCAGGTTTGGATGAAAGAAAAATAGGAGTGAAATAACACTACAAAACTTAGTAACTGCTATGATTGAGGTTTACATGGAAAGGGTTTCTATGCTCTTTTCCATCCCAGTACCTCACTGGCACAGGACCTGTTACCTCTCTGAGCTGTCCTGCGGCGAAGGTGCGTGACACTGTCACTGTGCTGAGACAGAGTGTCTTCCTCTGGCAGCTCCTGTTCCCTGCTGTGCTCACCCAACGCTCTCCTCAGCAGCTGTGGGATGGATTTGTGGGGATCAGGTTCAACAGACAGTGCTAAATGTTGAATGAACTGCAGACAGGTGCTAGCTGCAGATTTCCATTTCACTGGTATTAAATGTATATTGTGGCTCTCTCCACTATCAGTGTGCCATGGTTTAACCTCAGCCAGCAGCCAAGAACCACACAGCCACTCACACACTCCCCCACCAACTCAGCTTCAAGCCAGCACATACTACCAAAGCTAAACTGCTCAGCCCAGCAAGGAACAGCTCTCCCTTACCAGATCTAGCTCCTTCAGCCTGTGAGACAGCTTTCCTGACACTTCATGAAGCTCTTGCTCAGGAAGCATTTCTGTTGTTCTGTGGCAAAGTGGAGCTTCAAGGGAAGCTGTGGTAGAATTTTCATATCTGCTAAAGCAGGAAACAAACATTTCATTCCTGTTCTAAAAACTCAAAGATGAGCATTACCTCACGCAATTTCAGGTCACTTGTTGCATAAGCACATTTGTATAGGATTAAGTAGAAGGTGAATGTGTAAATGCCTATAAATATACTGAAGTAAATGAATGTGTGTCAGGAGAAACAGGAAATCTTTCTGTTAAAATCAATCTCTCTGTCAGGCAGCCAAGGAAGGAGAGATGTTAATTAAAAGGGGATGGGTGGCAATGTAAATGAAAGTGCTGGTGTGGCTCAGAGCCAAAAAAACTGAACTTGCCTTGTCTTTCTAGGCAGGTACCTGGAGTCAGGTCTTGGAGTTTGTGTTGCTTGTTTGGCATGTAGTGAGAGTTGTTCACGTGAGGAGGAAGCAGATGTAGAAGGCTCATACAGCAGGGGAACCTGAGAAAATGAGTAAATGGAGATTTTACTAAGATCTGACAGATCATGTGAGTAGAGAGATGCTGTAATAGCTTTTTTTTATAGCAGCAGCTCAAACCCTCTGAATACAAAAGTGGCTATTTCCAGGTCTCTGACTGAAGATAATCTGCTTCAGAAAACGAGATGTTTAAAGAAACAGACTAGCAAAAATACTGAACATCAGTTCAATCATCTCCAGCTAAATCCCTGACCCAGCACAAGGTGTGGGTTGAGGTGATGAGCAGCCTCTACACACCACCTCAGCAGCCTGGGACTGACTCCAGACTGAGCTGCAGCTCACAGAGCCCAGAGAGAACAGCTCTGTCCTTGTGCCATTAGTTACTGGCACTGGGCTGGTACTGGTGACTGCTCTGGTGCTGCCTGGTAACCTCTGCTCAAACAGGAGTGATCTGTGGTGGCATCTGTGTCCTTCCAAATGCACCAATGGAAAAGGAGTTTCAGAGACTGTTTCAAACAGACAATGGAGAAGTAAAAGCTGTTGAAACTGGTGGAACAAGTGAAGGCTGTGAGTACCTCTTGTGGTTGCAGAAGGCAAGAAAGTGTTTCCAGAGCAAGAAACTTCCTGTACAGATACATTTCTATAGGCTCAGTTTGCAGGTTTTTCATTGTTCGGTTTTTGAAAAGCAAAGGACAATGCAAGAAAATCAAACAAAAGGAAATAACCAGGCAGTGATCTTTAGGAGGGAGTAAATCTGAGTTTTTCTGGAGTCTGAACAACTCCAAAAAAACCTCAAAATCTTACTAATTTGGAATGCTGATACACCTCAGAGAAAGGACCTGTCTGTACTCTTGTGCTCTGTACATTTTTGATCAAAAAGCAAGATAACTAGTAACTGGTTGGTTGTGATAAATTAGAGCCCTGTGGGTACTGCCATGTGTACTCCTTGGAGCAAACAGCCCCAGAAAGAACTGATGTGACTTACAGACTGTATGTGGGCCTAGTCTAACCACATTGCACCACTGTGATTGTATACTGAGACTCCTCAAGGCAAGAACAGGTTTGAAATAAGCCCAGAGGGGCCAGAAGACACCAGGAGAATCAAGCAGAAATCCAGAAATACTGACTGAAGCTCCACAGATAAGGTAAAGATGCAACATCTACCTTTGTCACATTGTCCTTGGCATCATTTGGTCCCACCTTGTCTCCCACTGCAGGAGCAGATGACAGGGAAGTGTGAGCTGATGGTACAGACTGCACTGTGCCTAACGTGGGGAGCAAGTGAAAGGAGATGTGAGCCAAGGTATCCAAAGAGAACAGCATGACAGAGCAACTGTGGCTACACAGTTGTGACATTCATTTGGGTAATTTCTCAAGTCTCCAGTGCTCAGTGTCATGGGAATGCCATGGAAACTGGAAAGGTAAGCACTGTTTCCCAGGCAACAGGGAAAATGAGTACTGAAAAAAATAGCTTCTAAACCTTTTCTACAATAGCAGTTAATATTTTTTTCTTAGAGCTGAAAGTGGCTTGTTGGGTCCATGTTTCTCTGCTCACAATAAGCTCAGCCACAGGAGTTATCTGCTGGAAGAGATTTCTGTAGCACAGACCCATCTCAACTGGATTAGCTAAGAAAGGAGTTGAACTGGGGACACGGATTACTTTTTTCCAGCACAGAGAAGAGATTAAAAGTAACCTATTTTTGTTTCTCTATAAAACAGAGATAGAAATATGAACTTGTGGCTGGATTTAAAATAGAAAAAAAAAACCTAGTAGTTTCAAGACCGTAGTTCTTGTGATGCCAGGAAAAAGAAATGCTACATTTGACACTTAAGAGTTACCCTATAGGAAGCAAAATTTTCTCTCACCAGGGATCTTTCTTGACAGAGGAAGACTACCAGAAACACCTTCAGGCTTCTGGGTAAGTGGCTTTTCAAGCTGAAAGAAAAAGCAACATGTGCTCTCTGAATTCCCAGGAGACTTGTGCCAGGAAGGTCATGCATCAGCTTTGCCTGCAAATGGCAATCAATGCTGGTTTTACAGGCAGATATAAATCACTATAATTATTGTGTTTACTATACTGTGACCTGTGCAGTTACACTGAGTATGGGGATGTGCATGTTTATGTGTACAAAATAAACACACCCCTCAAACTCAGTTCCTCTCTGGCCACTTAGTGAAGAATGAATCCACCACCCAAAATTCTTTGGGCTAAGATAAAATCTGACATATCCAGAAGTGTTCAGAGACAACTAGTCCCATTCTGCAAGTAAACTAGAAGGTTTCAACATGAAAGCAGTATTGATTACTAAAAAAGAAAAGAGAAAACAATCAAAGGATAGGTTTTTCCTTACAGTAGGAATTTCCACTCGGTGACTGCCAGCCAAAGCTGCTGCCAGGCTGGCTGAGCTGGGCTGAACTCTCCCTGCAGGGCGGTGAGGTCTGGCCCCAGCAGGCTGGAACGGGGGCAGCAAGGGAACAGCTTGCTGGATTGGCTCCCCCAGCTTTGTGGCACAGACACCCAAACCCTCTGCCTGAGGCTCAGCAGCAGGAACAGACTCCATCGATCCTGCAAACACAAACAACTCAATGTTCAGTGTTCTCTGTGAAAGCAGATTGTTAGCTTGGTGTATTGTCTGTGTGTGTTGAAGGGAATGTCTCAATGCCTTCTGTTAGTGCCAGCCTTGCTGGATTGCATGGAACAGTACTGTGACATTGCTAGGCCTTGAGAACGTGGTTTTGGACACCAGGATCTTCCACAAGGACTTTCTACTTCTAGTATTTTGCCTACCGAACCACAAAGAAAAGAACCTAGCTGAAGCCAAACCCAGCTAAGAAGAAATGCCCCAGGTAATGGGAGTTTGCACACTGGCACACCAAAATGTAAGATTTCTGAAAAGAATTTATTTAAAAGAGATGGTTTCCATTCATGATGGAAGTTTTCCCCTACACTACCTAAGTTCCCCTCACCCCAAATCAAAATCAGGCACATGAGCTGTCAGAAGAATCACTACTCACCATCTTCCTTTCCCTTTACAGCCACCTGTCCAGTCCCACAGAACTCTCTGGGCACTGTTGTTATAGCCTCTGAGCTTTTAGACTCTTCCACCCTGTCATCCTTTTCTGCTGGTAACAGTTCAGGCAACTGAAATTCTGGAATTGGATGTTTAAAAAGATTAAATTAAGATCTATAAAGCATCTTGCTATGAACTGTTGAGATGGACAATGTTCATGTCTGCTACAGCAATCACTTGGTGTTAGCAGACCATAAAATTATCAAAATAGGTCTGTCAAATCCTTATTGTAACTCTTGTCAATGAGATGTTCATAATGCATAACATTTCTTTATGCCTCTACTTGAACAGATCAATCACCAGTAAGAATAGCAATATTCTTACAGAAAAACAGGAAATAAGAATGAATTCCTTTTTTGCTTTAAATGTAAATGTAAATGTAAACCATAGTATTAGTATTATAGAATGTAAACCATAGTATTTGAAATAGGTATCCTTATAAAAAAGGAACAATAAAAAAAAGCCTAGAAATGTTACTACAGAGTAGCCTTCCAATTTTTTTCCCCCCAAAACTCACCTCCCTCTCTCCTGGAAAAGGAATGAGCAGTGTCTCCAAGTCTAATTAACTCACTGGTAGATTCTGAGCCATCTGCATCACAAGTTAGGTCCCAGTCAGAATATTTTCTCCTAAGGGGAACACAAAGCCATAAGACCTTTCCTCTCAGTCCCTGCCCCTTCAGCCCATGAGATGGAGCTGGACAGGCTCTGGCCCTGGGGACACAGCTCTGCTGCTGCACAACACACACACGAGGAGGCACAAGGAGAAACTAAAACACAGCCATTCAAATCTGATCAAAGTGTTCTAGTTGTTTCATTCTGCCTATAAAGCAAACTTAAGGGAAAGAAAATCAGCTCTTCAAGGGCAAGAAAACATCCTGGATCTGGTTTTAGCCCTCTGGCTGCCCAACTGGGGGAGTTACCTCACGTCCCACTTGACATGTGTAATCAGGATGTTTCCCTGCTGTTACACACCTACTGGTTTCTATCAAATGCACCAAGACAGTCACTCACTCCAGCAAAGCAAACATCCAGCATTGTTCTTACCCTGCAGCTGCTGAGAACATTGCAGGCTGTGTGGGCTGACCAGCATTGCTTTCCAGCTGCTCTTGGGGCACAGTCTGAATTTCAATCTTGGGCAGCACATTTGCCTCAGCTGTTAATAATCAAGAGGTACTTATTGTCAAGAAAATGACTTCTACCTATAAACTAACAGTTATTATTTCCAATACCTTCAAAACAGTTTGAGAGTAATACAACATTATAATGCTGATATCTAAAATGATGACAGGTAATGATCCCCCTTGGGGGGGAAACTTTTAGGGTCATATATCCTTTGGTCCAATCACACATAAACCTTTCTTCCTCTTCAAAAAAATTAAATCCTGTACTTAAAGCTACAAAATTGGAGCCACTAACACCCACAGGGTAACAACAGTGGCAGTCTGAATCCCAATCCAAAAGCATTTGATTTGCAGGTCGAAAAGCAACATGGTAACACAGGATGAATTGTCTGGGGTAGGTCCCTGCCACAAAAAAATGAAGCAGAAAGATTATGTTCTCCAGTCCTTGCCTTTTACCAAGTTTTGGGAGAAATAAACTGTCTGGTTTATTATTGTTTATGAAAATAAGGAATGTGAATATTCCATTTGGCCACTGCAATCCCCTCCCCCATGCTCAGTTTGTCTTTCTGCTCTTCTGCTTTGTCAGGGTTACATATAAGGCAAAACCATCAAATAAATCTTTGCTACACTGGAAACATTTTGTGTTTACATCTGTCTACTCACCTCCATTCTGAGAGGATTCACTGGCTTCTTCTGTAAGATACTCCAACAAACCATCAAATATTTCCAGGAGGTTTTTGATAGATTCTCTTTCTCCTTTCACAATATTCTCACCTGAAGAGAAGGTAATGACACATATTAATACCTAGCACTTCACAGAAGGAAATTCTCAAAAGCATTTTCTGGAGAATGCTTGGAAGTTCTTGGGGAGGTGTCAGCTCAGAAGACAACTGGTCACTCATTTATGGCTATATATGTAAGCTTAAGGTATTTATAAGTGCCCTAAATTCGCATATTTTCAGTTGTAATAAGTGAAAATTGATTGATGCTATAACTGCTCACACACACACACACAATATTCAGGGATATTTTCAGGGATAATTTAATACTTTTCTGCTGCATATCAGCTGTAGCATGAAGAGAGTCCATGGAGGGGCAGCAGGACTGCAACTGCCAACCACAGTGTCCAGGCACCAAACCAGAGACACCTCACCCCAAGCAGTTTTCATTCTTTGCAGACTGAGTTGTGTGAGGCTGTGCACATGGACTCAGGGAAAGACACTATCCATGTGCTGAGGACACACACAGCTTAAGTCTTCACCCACCAACTTTAGGGGTGCAATAACAAGTTTGAAATTCAAGGCTCTTGTCATCAAACCAAGTCTCCAGACATGAGCCAGTAACAGAGTTCAGGTAACACTTTAGCAGCCAAGTATGACTGACTTGACTTTACCATTTCTTGCAGGTCTGTGTGATACAAAACAGCTCTTTGATACTCTGCTTACTGTTTCAATTCCTAACCTGGTGTGCAGGGCAAGAGCCCAGTGTTCTGCTGACATTTGCTGCAGGAGAAAGCCCTCCCATGCCAGTAGGAAAGAATGTTTTGTAACATATGGTTCTTAGAGGTGTTCAGCTCAAACCACACAGACATCCAGCTGGTGTTTGTGTCACTGAGACCAGTACTCACCTGTGATGTGAGACAAGCTGACCTGCAAATAGTCCAGTGCCAGAGAGTCTATTACTGCTTGGACATTATGTGCATCATCCTCTTGGCTCCTAGGAGTAGCTATGAAATCTATTTAAAATAAACAATAGGTTTTAGGTTGTCTAAATGGAGAGATAATTGCAGGTGCTTTAACTAAACTACTGCAACTTTCACTTATAAGTTAGTATCCTCTCAGTACCCTGTGGGATGTTCTGAGAGTTTCAACTTTTTTCATTACAAAATACACAGAGACCCATTAAAAAAAAAGCAGGTTTATAAGTTCTCATTCCTACCTGGTACTTTCTCTCCCAAGACTGACTCATAAAGGCGAACAAACACATCAGCACCACATTCTGAGAGATGCTTGATGTGCAGGTTTATGTGACAGCTCCTTAAAAGTTCATTGGCAACATCAACCCAATCTATTAAGAAGTAAAACATACCAATGTCAGAATGAAAAGCACAGAAATAAAGACTTGATCAGTTACAGCAAAAGGTGCAACTCATGTCTTTGACTCCAGCAGAGGTGATCAAACCCACCCAGGCTATCCCAGTCATCCAAAATATTAAACACTCCGTTCAAGTTTGGTCATAGCAGAACTGCCCTTGAGAGCTGAAGGGCACTGAGGTACCACAGGCAGGTTAGTTTTTACTTCCATGTAATGGAAAACAATGTTCCTCATAGCCAGGAACTCCAAACCTTGAAGAACTTAGCACAAGCTTTGATGTGTCTTTTGTCAGTAATGAGAAATGACATGGATTTTTTGAAAAACACAAGTTTTTCTTACAAACCTAATTTCTCTAATACTCTTAAGTAATTGCATCATTGCTAACATAAATATTGCCATGAAAGCTACATTCTAGGACTACTTTTATTAGCTGTTGAGGGATTACAGGGATATGGAGCTGGTGACACCAACTTCATGCTCTGTTTAACATGTTGAGATGTGCATTAAGAGTCTGATGTCCAAAACCTCTGAGTCCTGAGCTCAAAGAGCTTTGAAGCAAATGTCTCCTCCACAGCCTTATCCCCCAATTCAAACACCAACTTGGAAGAACTAAGTCTTCATCTTTGTTAGTCTGTGATCTCTTACACCTGGCTATTCCCCCACGATGGTGCTTTTGCAAACCAAAACAGTATTTTAGCAAGTATTAAGGAGTTTAGATTACAGGAGAAAGGACAAATCATCTTTGGGAGGGAAAAGTATAGAGTTACAACAACAGAAATGAATTTGTGCAGTTTTCCCCCCTCTGTACATGGGCAGTGCTATTTTTCCACCCCTCCTTTCCCTCAGTCACAGACATCACTTTACCCCAACGTTTTAACAGTTTCAGGTGCACAATAGATTAAAGTAGCATCTCCCACATTTCAAGCTGTTCTAGAACACTTCACATACCACTCATCTTTATTCACGTCAAAGCATTACCAGGGAGGGGACAGAGCCAAGAGAAGGAGGGAGGGTTAACATGAAGAGCTTAATGAAAAGCTGCAAGAAAAAGACAAGTTGAGGGAACTCAGTCGAAGGGGGTAGAGATGCTGCAGGTGGTGTGAGACGCGGCCCGGCCCTACCTGTGCGGTGCAGCCCTACCTGTGCGGCCAGGCCCTACCTGTGCGGCCCGGCCAGGCCAGGCCCGGCC